AAACAAGTTTTCGAGAAAACAGCAGTTAAAGTTTAACTTAGAAAAACCCTTGTAACTTTTTTAAATATTAATATTTTTCTATCAAGTTAGGCTTATTTTCTTTACCGTGGATCACATATAGTATCAAAATAAAAAACATACAAGTATTGACAAACATTTTTTAATAATTGTTTATATAAATTAATAACAAACTCCCCAAACATAGAAAAAATAATCTAAGTTTTCAAAATAGCAAACAATAAGTACATGCTAATGCTAAACAAATTTCCTATTAATACGGCGGTCTTTCTTTTTCTATTCTTTCTTTCTTTCAATTTCTCACAATTTGAAATGCCTCACCTAGTTTTGCCAAATGTTAAATTGACAAAACCAGTTTTGGCAAATGACAAATTGACAAAACTAGTTTTGGCAAAAGTCAAATTGACAAAACTAGTTTTGGACAAATTTAAATTGCCAAAACTAGTTTTGTCAATTTAAAACGGCCAATGGCCGAAGTGAAACGTCCAAACCTAGTTTTGGCAAAACTGCACTTGCCAAAACTAGGTTTGGCTGTTTTTTCCGGCCATTGGCCGTTTTCGGCTTTTGAGCCTAACATTTACACTATTAAATTGGTTATATCTTAGGCTATTTGACTCTAAATTTATTGAACTTTAAAATGATCCTAGTTTGATAGCTCTAACATCTATTTTTACAGAAATATTTGAATTTGAAGTAAGGCAAGCATTTAAAAGTAATCAGTACAAATGTACTGAAACTTTTTGACCCCAGTGTATTTGTATGAAAAAAATTAAACTTCTAACATATAAAATTCTGTCTTAGAAATATAATAAAAAATTGTTTTATGGAATAATAAGGCGCCCCAATTTATGTCTTTTTTAAAAAAAAACATGATTTTTTTTGGAATTGTGATTATGATACGAAAATTGTGCCACTTGCATTAGTAATAAACAAATAAAAAATAAATTACATTTAAATTATAATTATTCTTTTTCATTAATTTACAAAAATATAATTATTTCGTTAATAATAACAAATTGAATTTCTAAAATCTTTTTTCCTTTATTCTTAGCCAAAACTTGAAATTTTGTTTAAGAATTGTGAATCGAAAAATAGAAATGATAGGTTATTTTCTTAAAAAACATTTTCTCTTAGAAGGAAAAAAGGAAAAGCTGCCTACTTTCGATTCGTCAAACAAAAAAAGTTTTTTATAGAAAAAAAGTTAAAAAAATTTGGCATGATTTTATTTTGTCATTTATTTACAAAATACTAACCTTTTCAGAAAGTAAGGAAAGAACTTTGAGTAAATTCTCTAAAATGACAACTAAATGACAACAATTTGTAACTCCAATGCAAAAGAAAAATAAATGATCAATAAAAACATTTAATTTAATAATAATTTTTTTAGATTAAATATTTTTTGTAATTAAATAAAAAATAAAAAGAATTATAATAAGTTAAAAGAATAAAAATAATATAATAATAATATCTGTCAAAACATATAAAAAAACAAAAGCCTCCACAAAAGTCTAACTTCAGGTGTGGACAGAGATCTGGAAATCTGGAATCACCACGATAATAAAATAAAATAATAATTATTATTTTAATTTTTATAATAATAATTTTTATTATTACTATCGTTATATTGAAAATATTTGTACAATTTTAGAAAAAATTATTCAGTAAATGATTTTTCTTTTTTGTATTTTTTTGTTGAAGAAATTTTGATTGAATTTGATTGATGAAAGGCAATAGTAAAAAAGACTATACGATTACAATGAAGACACAAATTCAATGAATGAAGTTATTTATATAATTTTAATTGGCCTTGAGTTGTTGGTGTTAATTCTTCTCTTGTATAACGATATATTATTTTATATAAAATGATAATAGTATTGAAATTAAGTAACTATTTTATGTTATTAGCAAAGATTGATTAATAATTGTTCATAAGAAATTTTATTCTCAATTGTATGTAAGCCTACTTGAAAACTAAATACCCATACGCAGGTGGTTAGAAAATAATATACAGTGTTATATAACAATGCAGAAAGTCACACTTGATAATTACTATAAGAAAGGCATGTAATTTTTATTGTTTATTAAAATTAGGAAACAGAAAAGTAATGTTAGATTGAAATTAGAAAAGTAAACTTTATATAGACAGTGTAATTAAAATGATTAAAATAGATAACGGAATTTATTCTCTGAATTGAAAGATGAATATTTTTTTGTTAGATCGACATAATTTTCTTTGTTTATGGTAAAATTAATTTAATCAGTAAAATTTTTGTTGAAAAAATTAATTTTTCTTTTCGCAATTAAAATTTACTTTACTTTTTATTATTTTATTGTTTTTTATTAAAATTACTATTTTTTGCTTTCGAACGTTAGATTTTGGTAATTTTCCTGTTTGTTTATTGTTTATTGATTAATATAGATTAAAATCTTATTAATTAAACAAAAATTACGACTAACAGTTAAACCATATCTTTTTGTAATTTGATTTATATTCAATATGAAGAAATTTATTAGAGTATAGGAGAAATTTTAGATCAATTTCACCGCGAGTTATAAGATTTTAAGAGAAAAGTGCATAAAAAATCATTTTTATCGAGAATATTTATTCTGGATAAAAATGATTTTTTTAATTGTACGTATAAAAAATTGCTTTTTCTTTTTTGGTACTATTTTTATTTATAGAATAGAATCATTTGGGAGGATTGGAAGACGTTATTATTAAAGTTGTCCGTTGAACAAAGAAAAGTCAGTCAACGTAATTGACATAATAAAATGTCTCCCGAATCAAATAACTCGTCGTTTCAAGAAGTGAAAGCTGTTTTCATGTTGTGATGATATTAACATAAGTTAAAAAGATGAACGAAAATGCGCGAGATTGAGTACAAAAACCGGTTTTGATACCAATTCTATTATTTATTAATATTAATGCTTCCACGAGGCATATCGACATTTTTACTTTTTCAAAATTTATGAATAATTCATTTACAAATTGTTTAGTGAGATGATTTTTTAGAGATATTTCATTTAGTTTACGTTGTTTATTTATTTTTAAATATTTAATGTTTACTTTTGGTTTTTTTTGTTTTAAACCGAATGAAGTAAGAAATTAAAACGAAAATGGAAAAATTGGTCGAATAACTTGGAAAATATTCGGTTAACTCAGAAGAAAGTTAGAAATTATTTTAATTTCCAAATTATTTGAGTACCAAAAATGTGAGACAAGAGTTTTGTTCGAACCCCGGTTATCCAATTTAAGAGATTTCTCCACGAATAAGACTCGTGTATATAGGTAATACTGCATTGAGCCTTTCTTACGATCCGATAATAATTTCTCTTGTGGCTCTACGAATGCGAAAACGAGCATCTTTGCTGAATTTTTTAATTTCGCTTCCATGTTTATACACTGAAAAAAATTTCTAGGCGATTTGACTATGCTCCTAGTTACGAGAGTCATCCACTAAGAATTTTGGTTACTTTAACTAGGAATCCTGGTTACTACAGCACTAAATTTGTCAATATAATCAAGATTCCTAGTGAAAGTATAACCTTAATGCTATAATGGATGCTCAAATCGTTTAGGCATTTTTTTCAGTGTAAAGAGAAAAAAGCATTTTTTTCAACTTTGATCAAAAATATAGAAAAACAATAAATTGAACAAATTTTTACATTTATTGTCCAAATTTAGTTAGAATTATAAGAATTATTCAATAATATTCTATTATTTTATTTTTTTTGAAACTTTTTTTCGACTTGAAATTAAGTTTATATTTATTAGTATCGAAATGATAAAGAAAATGGAATAAAAAATTGTCGGGAAATTTTCGAATAAATTGAAATTTATGAGAATCTATATGCATATGATATGTAATTCAGAGTGAATCTTGTATTTTTAATTGTTTCTAGATAATAACATTTAAGTTCATGTTGAAAAGAATTTATGTCACTGGGTCACAGATCAGGATTAGGAGAATATTATACACTCGTGAGCAAGAGAAAAGTCAAGTGTGCGTAATCTGTCAATGACAGCTACTGATTTTTTTAAGCTCTCATTTTCATAAGGATTCATGATTAGCTCCTTGACTTTTTTCAAGGAAGGACTTCAATTAGACTTTTATTATGGACACGAGTCATACATAACATTTTTTTTTCTCTTTTTCTATTAAAATGCAAATTTTAATTTTGTTAACTACTTCACACAATGATTTTTTGAAAATTTATTCATTTGTTTTAAATAATAATGAATGAATCTGATGAATGAACATTTTATTTTATTTTTCATTATTAAATAAATTAAAGTACATATAATTTAATGTATTTTTTATTTTACTATATTTTTGTAATTTTTTGTTTTACATTTTTATAATTATAACTTTTAATTTTTTTTGCTTAAAAAAATAATACTAATTGTTTTTTCGTAGATACAATTTTTGTATGAAAAATTTCTTTTTACTAACTTTTGGAAATTTTATTTGAAAATTATTTGAAAATAAAATAAAAAATTTTTGGTTTTAAATCTTTAGTTAAAATTCAATAGAAAATTTCTAAATTGAATTTTTGTTGTTAAAAAATTAAGTGGAATATTATATGCAGTTTCTAAAAAAATGAGTTACAAATTTTTCAATAAAAATTTAATAGATAATTTCTAAAATGAATTTTTCAGTTAAAAATTCAGTGAAACTTAATTTAATTGGAATTTCTAAAAAAAGTATTCACAATGCTGTGAGTAAAAATTGAATAGGAAATTTTTATATTAAAATCTTTTGTTAAAAAAATTTACTCCAAAATTATATGCAGTTTCTAAACAAATGAGTTACAAATTTTTCAGTAAAAATCCAATAGGAAATTTCTAAATTGAATTATTAGGTAAAAATTGAGTGAAAAATAAATTGAAATTTCTATTAAGAAAAATTGTATGTATTGAATTAATTGATTAAATGAATATTAATGTTTTAGGTTTATGGAAAAGAAAGGAGAAGACTTACGGAAGGATCGCGATCCTCTTCATTCTCAACCGTCTCGTTGAGTCCTGTCTCACTCACCTGGTGTATTGAGATAAATACCGCTGTTTCTCCCGAACTTCTAAGCACTAAATACACCTGTCGTGCCTCGTGGACAACGACATCGAGACCAATTAATCCACTACCGCCAAAGATCGTCACGCACCTGTGTCTAAAAGACTCTCTTTTCGAGAATATAACTCTTCTCTCTCTCTCTCTCTCTCTCTCTTAGTGAGTGAAATCGAAAGGATAAAATTCCCAGATGGTGGGCAGGGAATCCGTTCGAGAAAAAATATCAAACTCTCCTCAACATTGGACGTTCTATCGAGATTAAAAATCCAAAGGAGAATACAATCATCGAGAGAAAGGAAGAGAAATAAATTTTTCAAAAAAGGAAATATAGGTGAGAAATTTAATTTTTAATCATAAATTGTGAGGATTTTTCTTATGACACAGAAATAAGAATTTACACAAATTTGTAACAAACTTTGTGTGCGGAAGGAAGAGAAAAGACCGGTTAACTACTTGTGTGTTGTGCGAGACGATGGTTCTCGTATTTACCGTACTACACACCTTCTCCTATGGTTAAAAGAGAACCCCACTCTCTTTTTAAGGTCCCCTCTCGCTCGCTCCCACCCCCAAGGTGGTGTATATGCAAGATCGTATTCAAGAGTCATGTGATTCTGAGTCCATTTACTAATCACCGACAGAAAATCTTCCCTCTCTCTTTTTATTGTCTCGATATTTCTATCTCTGTCAGGATTTGGCGAATATAGCCTCCTCCAATTTTTTTCATTCTTTCTTTCTTTATTTTTTTAACTCCTTTCGTTTTTGTTAGCATCCGGCTGGTGTGGTGTGTGCTTGTGTAAAAGGTTATGCAAAACATCATGTGACTCCTGATTCACGGGAATAAATTTTCAAACCAATTCTTGTATTTCCTACCCCTCTTCTTATAATATTTATACCTGTTTTTTCTTGACACTAAATTTTAATTAAAAATTCGGTTTTTTTTTCTCTCTTGTTTCTTAAAGGGAATTGTGACGTTATTTGAGATATGGAAAAATTCCTAATCAATCAATCAATATTCTTTTTGGAATTCGTAAAAGAATTTTAATTTCGAAAAATTTATTGACACAATTAACATACAATTTTGTGTTACCGTTTGGGAAATATTTTGAAAATTTTAATTTTGTCAAAATATTCGTCGATTGATGGATTGATTAAATTTGAAGTGTTTTACAATTTAGTAAATCCAAATTTTTAACGATTTAAATTTAAATTTTTAATTCAATTTTTTTTGTTTATATAGTCGAAAATTCTTAACTTTCTAAATTTTCAATTATTCTGACTACGTTAATCAATTACAAATTTAATCGGTTCAAAAATTGGAATTTTTTATAAATTTATACTTCACTGAATGCAAATTTCAACTAATTGAAATTTTAATCAATTTTTATTTCTATTTTCATTGATTTAAAATTGAATCAACCCCAAATTTTAATTTTCATTTGTCCAAACCCAAATTCAATTTATAGATGTTGCCTAAAATAGACACCAGTAGGTGTCTCTCTTGCATTGGAGCTCATTGAAGGACAGATACTGGTGTTAAATCTTCTTTCTCCCTCCAACCCATATTCTGTTTATGGCAGGACAATTCCCCCACACGCTGCTATGCTTGTTATTCTGGGTAGTTCAAATAAATTGTTCATAATATGAAATTAAGTTTTTCTATTTAATTTCCTATCAAAAATTAATTAATTACTTTTTATATACATTTTTAATTTTTTAATTGTAAAAAAATTTCTATATTAAATTTGACAAATTCAAAAATGAAGTTCGAAAATGCAATTAAATTTCTATATTAAAGACAAATTGAAAACAAAATTTGTTAAAAAAGTAATTAATTACAAAATTTAATCGTTCAAAATTTGCAATTGTTAATAAATTTACACGGTGGTCTTGAAGCAAAATAAAGTTTTTCTACGTTGCCAAAAAAAATCATTTGTACAATCCCTTAAAGCGTCATCTCAAGATTCAAAATCAATAAATATTGAAATCTCAGCTGCTCGTCCTAGCGTTTTTTCGAAAAAATAAGATTTTCATTAAAAAAAATTTTTTAATTTCTAAAATTGTTTTCTTTCCGTTTTAGTAAATTTATATATCAATTTAATTCGAGTTAGATTTTATAATTTGAACATTTTTTAATAATTTGTTATATAAAAAAATAAAAATAAAAAAATTATCAATGGTGAGTGCACATAAAAATTAATAAAGAACAACTGGTCGCAAATAAGAGTGGTATTTTTTTAATAAAATAGTTACAAATTTATATGATTAAACAATTTATACTTTTTAATACGATAAAACTACTTGTACAATAATACACAATATACATACATATTTAATGTATATTTACAAAACTGTAATTCAAATATTCAGAGAAGAAAATTGTGTAACAGCACTTTTCAATTTCTCTAGGTATGCAGGATGATTTAAATCAGGGACCGTCACGGAAATCAAATTTTGATTTCGTTACGATATTCCAAAACAAAACGAAATTATTAATGTATTTTGATTTTGATTCGGTAACGAAACAAAATTTACTTTCTATTTTGATTCTGATACTGTAACGAAACAAAATTCACTTCCTATTTTGATTCTGATACTGTAACGAAACAAAATTCACTTCCTATTTTGATTCTGATACTGTAACGAAACAAAATTTACTTCCTATTTTGATTCTGATACTGTAATACTGAAATTCGATTTTCTTATAGAAACAGAAGTCGATTCGAATTCTACTTCAGATTTCTTATGTAAAAACGATATTATCTTCTGATATATTTGACATTTGCAACAAAATTTAGGTTCAATGAGACTTATACATGCGCAGTAGTATTTTATCAAAATTAAAACAAAAAAGAATTTTTATTTTGATATTGGAATCAAAACTAAATAGAATGGAATTTTGATTTTGATATTGGAACCAAAACGAAATAGAGTGGAATTTTGATATTGGAACCAAAACTAAATAGAGTGGAATTTTGATATTGGAATCAGAACTAAATAGAGTGGAATTTTGATTCTGATACCCATATCCGAATCAAAACAAAAGTATTTTTTAATTTTGTTTTGATTCCGTGACGGTCCCTGATTTAAATCGTTAACTTTATAACTTTTCCAAGTTTCCAAAAAATGTCGATGAATAGATTCACCTGCTTGCTCCGAAAAAAGTCCTATTTATATTTAAAAGATAATAAAAGATCATAAAAACTTTATTTGCACCTTAAAATACAATATTAAAACTACAAACAGAAACAATTGTTTCGTTTTTCAACTATTATTTACGATTTGTGGAGGGCACCAAAGTATGGCGATCTCTAATTTGTAAGAGTTAGCGGTGCTCCCGATACAGCAGTTCCTGACAGTCTAAAGTCAAAAAACAAAATTTAATTCTTAGTACACATAAATACCTAGTAGACGTATGTGATGGAATTAAAAAAAGTAAAAAAAACGAAAATGGCGACCTTTTAAAGTCAATTTTTAAGAAACGATGATTTTGATCTTTTAAATTTTTTACTTTAAAAGGGCGCCATTTTCGTTTTTTTACTTTTTTTTAATTCCATCACATACGTCCACTAGGTATTTATGTATACCAAGAAAAAAATTTTGTTTTTTTTTATTTCAGACTGTCAGGAGTGGCTATATCGGGGGCACCGCAAAATCTTACGAATTAGAGATCGCCATACTTTGGCGCCCTCTACAAATCGTAAATAATAGTTGAAAAAAGAAACAATTATTTCTTTTTGTATAGTTTAAATATTATATTTTAAGGTGCAAAAACAGTTTTTAATCTTTTAAATATTATGACTGCGAAAAAACAGTAAAGTGGGGCCAATATTTTGCCTTCGCAAACGCAAGTACACCTCAATGAAAACAGTATTGGTTGAAAAAACGCAAGGACGAGCAGCTAGGATTTCAATATTTATTGATTTTGAATCTTGAGATGGTACCTAAGAAGCAAACGAATTATAGGTTGGGTTCGAGTTAGATTTATCTTGATTAAAAGTTCATTTTTAATTATTTGAATTTGAAACCAATATTCATTAAATATTTTGAATACATATAATAAAGACTTGAAGACCAACAATATTTTTAATTATTAATTGATTCTCTTTCTGTATTTTTACGATTTTTACTCAAAAAATTTAAAACATAACCTCAAATTTTTTGCTTCTTAGGTACCTACCTTTCTTGGGAACGCGTCACATTTAATCGTCCCGAAATTGCAATTTTCAATAAATTTATTTTTATATTTAAATTTATATTTCACTGAATGCAACTTTCAACTAATTGAAATTTTAAGCACCCCAGATAACAATCGTGCGTCGCATTTAAACGCATGTTTCTTGCACTAACTGCGACTTACCAGATGAGTCGGTTCATATACGCATCTTACTATCGTCTGTGACGCTGGTAATAATGCGAGTGTTGTGAACTGCATTTCGTAAGCGCCTGTGATACAAAATGATAAGCATGTTCCGTTCACAAGTGCGACTTGCTAGAAGAGTCAATCCATACGCATTTTACCATCCACAGTGCGAATGCTGTGAATGCGTGTGCAGTGAACTGCACTTAATACGCACGCAATTAATGATGCGCAACCACCCGTATCGGCAATCACACATTTTATAATGGCGACAGCATTGTTTGTGGTGTGTTATCAAAATAAGTTTTTATTGTGATTTCATTTTTTATTGTTTTTTATTGCGATATTATTGTGAGGAATTATTGTGGATTTAATTTTTAGTACTGCAGCAAAATAAGAAAGTTAAATTTAATTTGTTTAAAGTACATATATATTTTTGTTGTATTAGATATAACCTCAAAAAAAGAATTTGGAAGTTTTTAACAATTTCAATTCCAAAATTGTACTGAAATATTAAATTAAAATCGTTTTTATAAATAACATTTTAATTTAAAAAAAATTACTAATGTCAATAATCTTTTCTTTTTATTTAATTCAAATAAGGCTGAAGTATAAATATAATTTATTCGCATTATACCGTCACGCATGTGCATTTTTTTTTTTTTTTTTTTTTTTTATTTATTGTTTATACTCCTGCCCTATTGGCCTTACGCACTTCGACAAGAGTCCCCGAGAAATACTTTTTTTTTTGGATTAAGCATAACCATTCTACATAAATTTTCTATATATTAACCTAATTTGCGTCTACAGCCGACTTTTATTAGGAGTACTCGCATTGCGCCTGGACCACCCGTCAATGGGTTTTCTCGCCAGAGAGAGGGAAACTGTAGAAAACCTCTCCTGAGTACAACCGGTTTATCGACAGTCGAGTTCTAATGGTGTGTACCGGACAATAATCGACGGTGCACATCATTATACCTCGACGTCGAACCTCCCGCTCAGATTGTCTCACGTGCCGGAAAAATACCAAGCCAAGTGGGCGCGAACCAAGGATACTTATACCCTTGGTCCTTAAACGACCGCCAACGCCAGGCATCTATCCGACTGAGCTAATCTGTCGGTTATTTTCATTCATTTAAATTTGAAT